CACTCCATGTTCTGTTGGTTAAGACTAGTTTCTGGGTGCATTAATTCCCATCCAATTCAGGGATGGATTTGTGGGGGTTAAGAGGACTGCTTAAAGCTAATGAGAAGAATTTGAAGCAGGAAAGTGAATGAAGGTGGCCTGCTTAAGGTAGGACACTGCTGCCATCAGTGTGAGCTCATAGGGAACTGTCTATGACAGCTGTGGATGTGTGCCAAAGAAATGCAACAGGAGGCACCAAAATTCTTGCTACACATGGACTTTGCCTGATTACAAGGGAGGGTAAGCAATGTAGTATAACTCTGTGCTGTAGAGGAAAAGAAAATTGGAAACAATCTAAATTTTTATAAAGTAGAATATTTAAATAAATTTAATAAATTAAAACAAATAAAAGTTATAAATTATGAAACATTTTAGCTAATGAAAAGTCTCTAAAACACATTTAAAGGGAAAAGAGGGAATTGCAGAACAAGTCAAACAATGTAATCCTGGATTTCAGGAGTGAGATCTGCACTTGGGAAATCATGATTATATATATTTCATGAACTAGTTGAAACTATTTATCAAGTAATAGAAGATAGAAAAGTGATGAGGTCCAAGAATTAAATTAAACCTGGGCCATCCAGTATTAGGAGGGCAGAGAATATATATATATATTCTCTTGAGAGATAGATAGATGATAGGAAGGATTTTGGACTGCTTTTTATTTTATTCATTTTTGTTTTCTATCTCAGGCAATAGTGAATATTTTCTTACCAGCCTATTTTTTTTTTTACAAATGAGAACATTTCCCTACATTACATGCTTACATATATATTCCCTGAAACTTGATTTCAATAATTTAAAATCTTTCAAAAAGTGTGTGAGAATTCTCATTTCTTCATCCCACCTCTACACCTGGTGTCATCAGAATATTTAATGAATCAGAATAATTAATAAATTTAAATATTCATTTCTAACTGATAAGTGTGCTTCCATTTCCCATTTCTGTGATTTGTACTGAAATTGAGTCGCTCCCTCTCCCTCTCTTTCTCTCTACCCATACACACAGAGCCAGTTTAAAATTTTTTCTTCCATGAATTTTTCCTCCATTTTATTGAGTTCTTTCTATACTTAATTTTTGTCAGGTGATAGGTGATAACAGGTAATTTCAATGCTTTTATTTGCATTTGTTAAATTAATAGTGAGAACTTTTCTTGTAATTATTGACCATCTGCACTTTCTTTGTGCACTATTTACAAATTTTGTTCATTTTGCTGTTTTGTTGTAGGGGCTCTTAAGGCATTGAGGATAACACCCTTTGCTGATACATAGATTCATTATTTCAACAGATATTTATTGGGTGTTTATTATTTGCCAGACACTCCAGCCAAACACCATATTCTAGATCTTTCTTCTGAGATATAGATGCTTATATGTACTAGAAATGTCCACTTAGAGAAAGAAAGGTATTAGTATCCATGCATGAATTGCCAAGGAGAACATACACAGCTCAAAAACACTTATCTTTAAGTACTGCGTGATCATAGAGTTAAAAGGATGTAGCGTGGGGCGCCTGGGTGGCTCAGTCGTTGGGCATCTGCCTTCGGCTCAGGTCATGATCCCAGGGTCCTGGGTACGAGCCCCGTATCAGGCTCCCTGCTCGGCGGGAGGCCTGCTTCTCCCTCTCCCGCTCCCCCTGCTTGTGTTCCCTCTCTCGTTGTGTCTCTCTCTGTCAAATAAATAAATAAAATTTAAAAAAAGAGAGAGAGTTTTAAAAAAACAAAAAACAAAAACAAACAAACAAACAAAACCCAAAAAAAAGGATGTAGCTTGTTATTTGAGGAGACTAGTAGCTCAGGATTAGCCTTTTTGTCATCTCTGTACTAATGGCAAGATTTTTAAAAAAATCACACGTTTCTGAGTTTTTATTTCCTCATTTGTATGATGGGAATAATTATGTCTATATCAGACAATTATTGCTAATTTAGAAAAAAGGAAAATAAACACTGGATCAGTTCTGAGAGTTTGAAAAAGAAAACCATCACCCCTTTCATTTTATTTCATATATTCTCCAAACCACTTTTTGATGATATATTATTTTCTCAAGAATAATATGTCTAATGTGACCAAGAAAGAAGAGGCTTTGCAAAAGAACTTTGCAGTAGAACACCCGGGGGCCAGGCATACCATATGGGCTTGATTACATCATGTCCCCTGTGCTGGCCATTTTTCTGGGGGGGGTAACACCTCTCAGGTAGATGTAGGGGTTAGTGAGATCCCATCTGGGAAAACACATATGATAAAATGTCATATGACCAAATGCTCACATTTGCATGTAAAATGGTGAAATGTGAATAAGGTCAGTGGATTATATCAATGTTATTTTTCTGTTTGTCATATTTTACTGTAATTACACAAGTTACCATTGAGGGAAAATGGGTAAAGGGCAGAAGATAACTCACTCTGTTGTTTCTCACAACTACATGTAAATCTACCATTGTCTATATATACATATATATACATATATGGTTTTTCTTGTCTAGGGAACTAAGAAAACACACCCAGTAGAACCCTTGCTATGTGCCAGGCACTAGGCAGGTGACTCTAGGATAAAAATACTTCCTGGTTTTCCCTTGATAGAAGGGTTACCTGTTGACCTGGTATCCCTTGTAGTTTAACAATTGTCCAATATCTTCATTTTTAAACAATGTATTATTATTACTGATATCTACATTAAAATAAGCCAGAATGGGTTTAGTAGACCTTGTTTACTTGAATTAGTTTTCTAGTTCTACTGTTACAAATAAACATAAACTTGAAAGCTTAAGACAATACATATTTATTCTTTTCCAAGAGTGTTCCATTAAGTCCAAAATCAGTTTTACTGGGCTGCAATCAAAGCTGTTGGAGGTTTCTAGGAGAGGTTTCCCTTCTGGAGGCTCTAGGGGAGAATCCATTTTTTCTTGCCTTTTCCGGCTTCTATAGCTACATTCCTTGGATCTTGGCTCCTTCCTCCATCTTCAAAGCTGGAAGCTTAGCATTTTACTTCAGTTGTCACATTGCCTTCTTCTGTAGTAAAAACTCCCTCTCTTTCCCTCATAGAAAGGACACTTGTAATTGTATTTTTAACCCAACTGGATAATCCAGGATACCCTCCCATCTCAAAATTCTTAATTTAATCACGCTTGAAATGTTTCTTTCCCAATTCAACATAATTAACATAACCATTTCAAGGACAATGTGCAGGGTTGTCACTGGTAAAATGAAGTAAACTCATGCAGGAGCAGCTGCAGAGCTAACTCCTTTTTGTTTTAAGTGGTAGTGAGAAGAACATTTGATGCTGCTACCTCCACTGGTTATGTATGACTAGCTAGTTGAGCTATGATCCATGCCAAGGACACCCAAAGTGCATGAAAATGCCAGCCCATCAGACAATAAGATCAGAGGAAAACATGGCAAATTATGGGTTTAAGTGTATGTGAAATGTGTGCAAAGTAAAGGCTGAGCTGTCCTACTGTGGAACATGAAAATCTTGGTACAGTGGTTTTGTCATTTATCACACTGTGTAAATCTACATTTATTTTATTGTTGGGATGATTCTTTAATTTTTCAATAAGAAATGAAAGTGCATATTGAATGGAAGATTAAGTAACAAATTTCATTTTCTTAAGAAAGTTGATGATAAACATTTATTTAACTTGCACAAGACATTTGCTGGCATTTACTATGCACTAAGGGGACTATAGTGATATTATTGATCTCATGAAAACCCAAATCTACAAACTTGCTGAAGAAACATTTGTATCTACTTCAGAAGGTGGTAGTTATTTTAAGAAGAATGTGTTAATTTAGTACATACAGATGCAGTTGTGTTGACTTTTCATTGTATGAACACAACTTCTAATTTAAATAAAATTATTTTTCTTCTAATTTACTTGCACAAATCTTGAATTCCAAGTTTTTGTGTGCATGTTTAAAAACAGGAATGATAGCTGATAATATGTTGACTCTATTAACAAAAGAACTCAGAAAACAATTATTGATGATAGCTTATTTATTTATTTTTATTGATGATAACTTAAAATCAGCATCATCAGATGGTTAAAACAGAAAATCTTTTAATACCAACAGTGATTTGATATTATTTTAGTCAAATTTATGGAATAATAACAATAATGATCAAATACTTTTGAAGTTCATATTCATGAAAGGGAAACATCCAGCCTTGTTATGAATGATATTGTGAATTCAGTAAAAAATTCAACATTGAGGATAGTATTTTTTGTTATATGGTGATAATGCAAATATACATTTTGGTGGAGCAAAGTGTTGTAGAAAGATCAATGTTTTGCTAAATAAGAAATATGCAGCAGAAATAGTTAGAATTGGTTGTGTCACACACATAATTCATAATTGTGTAAACAAGATGTGGCATTTTGCAAATCAAAACAGAAATGGAGGTTTCCCATATTTACACATAAAAACACTCATGCACACATATACTCTGTGTGTGTGAGAGAGAGAATACACAGTAGAAGCTACAATATTGGCAATTTTCTAGTTCTCTGGCTGGGTGGTGGTTTCACAAATGTGAAAGAGTGAAAGGGACAAACATGGGTTACTAATACGAGTGTTGTGAACCAAGGGCTATGATGAATCTATACATCTGCGGTGCATTTTAAAAAATGTCTTAATGTTTCTTTTTTTTTCTTTTTGCCTGTCTGACATTCTACATGAGAACAGGTCAAATACTGGAGTGCAAGTTTCAAGTGTGAAGAGAAGTGAAGGGAGAAGGTGAGAAGGAAGTTGCTGAAAGCAGGTTGGGGTATATGGATTTTGAGGTCCCTCGGGGACATTCAAGCAGTGGTATCCAATAGACAGTTGGCAAAAAGGGTCTGGGGCTAAGGGGAGGAAATAGCCTGGAGATGGAGATTTGAGAATCATCTGTGCTTAGAGGGAAATGAACAGAAATCTCTCAGGGAGAGAGAACGTGTGGACTGAGAGAAGAGGCGCAGGAACACAGCTACTCAAGGTGGCAGCGCCGCTTCCCGGTGGGCACCACTACCTGGGCTCTGGAGTCAGGCAGAGCCGCTCTTGAAAGCAGCCTGTGGGACTCAGCTGCTGAGCGCTCCTGGCAAAGTCGGGTACCGTCCCTGTGATCAGCGGTCACACCTGGCAATGACGTACCTCGCAGAGGGATGCTGTGCGAGGACCTGAGATGCGCCAGGTAAAGCACCTGCGGTCGGGAAGCCTCCGGGCTCCTGCTCTCTCCTTGATGCCCCCTTTGCCACCCCGCCCCCCACCGTGTGCGGTTGCTCGGTCCCTTGGGGATGGGGGTGAGGGGGCGGGGTGGGGGACCGAGCTCGGGTGACGCGGCGCTCACGTGACCGGCTGGGCGCCGACGTGGGCAGCAGCCCCCGCGCCCGCCCGCTCGCCCGCCCTGCGGTCCGGTCCCTGCGCCCTCCGCTCCCATCACCCGCGCGGAACCAGCTCCCTGAGCTGCCCGGGCGGCGGGCGAGGGGCGAGCGGGCTTCGGCGAGCCCGAGGAGGCGCAGGCCTGCCCCGGGCCCCGCAGGTCAGTGTGAAGGTGGGCGCTGCTGGCGGCCCCGGGCTGGGGTGGAGGTGGATGGCAGTAGGATCCGAGAGCAGCGCGGGGTGGGGAGGGGTCCGGGAGGTCGGTGGGGAGGGGGATGCAGCGCGGACGTGGGCAGGTGGGGAGGGAGCACCCCGCCGCCTCCTCGACGCCCCTCCTGTGCGCCCTCCATGCATTTTTGGACCTGAAATGGGGGGGGCGCCCCTGCAGTGCGACAGTGAAATGTAGGCATATTCTAGAAATAACCCCCTCTCACACTCTGCACCTGAACGGAAATACTGACCTCCGCGGAAAGGGGGTGGGGGTGGGCGGCTTGCCTGCGGGGGAGGGGGATACAGAGACCCAAACCATTTGGAAAGCATCCTGGCTTGGAGCCTGAGGCCTGAAAAGTAATGGAGGCTGGGGTTCAGGGGAGGTAGGAGAGGGAAATGTTGTATGAGGAGGGCCCAGATTCAGGAAGGAAACCTCAGTAGGCTGAGTGCACAGTCGCTGCCCTTGTCACTCTCTGTCTGCAGGTCTGGTGTCTGTCCTCAGCACTGTGCAAGTGTAGAAAAGGAGGAGGAACCTGTCCAGAATCCCCACAGGTCAGTGAAGGGGGGCGGGGTGCTGGACAGGAATGGTGGGGGGTGTAGCGGGCACAGCTTGGCCAGAATTTGAGGTCACCAGTGCCCATCTCCCCACCGCCCACCCCACCACCATATATATTGCACACACCCAGCCACGCTGAAGGATGGCAGAAGGTGGTAGCACCTGCCAGGGAAAAGTTTGGGAGGAATGGTGGGGTAGACACTTGGAGGGCTGGGATTCAGAAAAGGGACCAGAGTCTTTGTGCATCTACTGAATGCCCAGTCTCTCTCTCCTGTCTGTCTGCAGTTCTGTGTGTTTGTTGTCAGCACTCTACAAGGCTAGAAAAGGAAGAGTTACCTGTTCTGAATTTCTGCATGTCAGTGAAATAAGGGGGTCTCTGGACAGGGACTCAGAGTGGTGGGGAGTGTGGAGGGTAGAGCATGGGCAGAATTTGGAACCCCACTACCCACCTCCCAGCACACTTACACTTTACCACGCTGAGCAAACAAAGAGAAAATGTCAGGGCCTGAGAGAGAAATGGTTGGCTCACCTGTGTGGGAGGAATGGTGGGAGAAGGAGTATGGCTGAATACACACTTGGAGGACCAGGCCGGGTTAAGGGAACTCAGACAAGGGGAGATATGTAACTATTTTCCAGACCTGCATTCCACCCCCAAGCCCTCAGTCTCTCTTGTCTACTCTTCCTCCCGGTCCCAGGACAGGAAAAGGAGGGGAATCTCAACATGGAAAAACTCTGTGATGCAAATGAAGGAATGCCTGAGAACCAAGGAAAGATGGAATACAATGAACCACCACAGGATGCGGGAAAGCCAGGATTAGCTTGTACTCTGGAAGACGAAGAAAAGTTGGAAAATGAGGGGAAGACAGAAAATGAGGAAATACTAAAGGACAAGGAAAGTCCAAGGAGTGTGGCAAAGCGAAAAGAGGGAAAGCCAGTAAATGAGGGAAAGCCAGAGAACCAGGGAAAACCAAAAGAAGAAGGAAAACCCACAAGTGAGGGGAAACCAGAGAGCAAGGGACAGCCGAAAGAAGGAGAACCAGGGAGTGAGGGAGAGCCAAAAGAAGAAAAATCAGAGAGTGAGAAAAAATCAGAGCCAATGAATGAGGGAAAGCCAGAGAGCCAGGAAAAGCCAAAAGAAGG